GTTCCATGAAATATTTTTTTACTTCCTTCTTGATGCGAGATTTTGCGGGTGCAGTTTGTAGCCACATATATTTTCGAATAAATTTTGATGATATATCATAATTTACCTGTATAATTACTTTGCATTGTATAGAAAAAGATATGCTACTTAAAGTACACGGGTGGAGCAGAATAAACATCCTCATGGAACAATATTCATTGGTTAGAAAGAATAGACGTCCGTGCGTCTCTGCACCAAATGGTTTCTGATTTTAAACAGTAACTTTCGAACTACTGCAATTTTTATCATGACAACCAAGGTCGCGCCAAATCAAATCGCGAAACGGGAGAGCTAAGAAAACTACAATGGAAAGTGAAGTTCGAAATAAATGTTTAATACCAGTAGCTATTGATGTATGGGTATGATATTTGAGGCTGAGAAATATTTATCTTTTCAGAGTCATGTTGCACGAGTTCGATCAATACCTATATATATATCGAGAGGGAGAGAAAATTTAAGAGATGCTGAAAATGATTCCAGGAAAAGCTTGGGCATTGTGGAAAACATTTGTGGCTATCGTGCATTGTGGAATGAATAATGATCAATGTAAATGAATTGCAATCAAAAGCAGAAATTTACTACCGTATAAAGATCGATGTGTCCGGATTTCCCTCAAAACTGAATAACCATCGCCATCACCAACCTGCCTGTCTTTGCGAGCACTTCCTCGGGTCGAAAACGCTGTAAACCATTCAAACCTCACCTTTAGTGGAACTATTCGTGAACTAAAAGGATTCCCAAAGGATTTTGAACTGTACTTCACATGACATCCGTAAACACTTACAAAAGTACTTTTATCGGTCACGCTGATTTGTACTGCTCGATTCGTGCGTTTGTGTGAAACACTCGACACGAATGATCAACAGTAAAGATGGATAGCAAATCTCCTGGTTAATTTATAGGAATTGATTTTTTTAATTTAGTTCCCAAAACTCGTCTAGCTGAGGTATTAAAACTAACAGAAACTGCGGGTGGTGCTAATCATTGAGATAAGAAGTCTCGTTCTGTTTGAATTGACGATATATCGATGCATTGAACGGTCTGTATATTTGCAACGTTGGGACAAGAAAAGCAACAGTATGTAAGCATAAAACATAATGAGAAGTTAGCTACTACGCCATCATCCGGCATTGAATTAACCGATAGTAGAACTAATTCGGTAGTTTAACTTGTGGAAATGTCCCTGCCAGCGACTGTGTGAGGAATGTGCGTGTCTGTTCACCACTGGAGTTATTGCATATTTGTACCCTACATGCACGACAGGTGAAAATGGGTTAAAATGATGAACGGAAACGTTCCAACTGTGAAAGAAAACCTTGAATAATTCATGTACTGACTTGTTCCTCTTCTATCCCTGCAGAGTACCATCGTGTGTTTCTTGCCGAAAGACCGTCTGCAGTTTGCGAAGCATTTCGCGGTTCCATTACATTCGGCGGGGCCCAAACGATTCCTTGAGCCGCCATTTCCGCAACCACCTGATCATGGGTCTCGATCGGGTCCTCTTCTGCATGACGTAAAACTGGATGTGGATTGACTAATTCCAACTGTTCCCCGTTCTCATCTACCGATACGGTGGGTTTTGCGGCCAACTGCGCTGATTCAGTGCGTCTGAGTGGAGTGGATGTGAAACCACGTTCAGGGAACAGGGAATATTGCTCGGATGAAGAATTCCTAGGAGGTTGGGAATTTATTCGAAGAGTTGACAAGGAGTGAGAAATAGACGATGGAATCCATTGCAGAAGCGGATCTTGGACTGAATGGGAAGGATTCACATTTGATGAGGCGGGAGCTGCACTGGAAGGGGTAGGTTGCGTCACCTTGTGGAGCTGCGGAGTTTCCATCCGTGACCTATGGGTATTACCAGGCGTGTGAACACCCTATTGTATGATACGAGAAAGAAGAATTTGAGACTTATTAAAACACAAACATTGTAGATCAATCAGCCATGAAAAATTGTCTCTGTAACTAGTATGCATGACATCGACCTCAATTATTGCAGCGATGGCTACGAAGAACATTATCTACTTGAGCAGAAATAACTTTTGTAAATATTTGGCATTTGACTGCAGAGAATGAATCCGATATTATAATATTACATTATGCATATATTGGCTAAGCTATTCAACAGATTTGGTTGACAAGGGCATAACAGTTAATTATCGTATTAATTTACAAATAAGTATTCGTTTTGATCAACGAGAGGAAAATGAAAAGGTGGAACTGGTAGTATAGCCTGATAGATATGTGAGCTGTGGTATGCGATATAACTGACCTGTGAGTTCTGGACTGGAAGGTGATTGGAAGATTGCTCGATGGCTGAGTAACGACGGTGCATACTGGAACGTCGCTTATGGGAGGAGGACACGGAAGCCAAGCATTCCGCTTCATCTAAACTGTCTTGTTCGACCTGAGGAGTATCCTGGTAAAATGAAAGCAATTTACAGAGCAATAAATTAAACAACCAGCGGGAACTGAAATGCCACAGCAAAAACGACTGTGACTGACCAAGCTTCGGTTTTGATGTCATTATATTTCATTTGTGCCTGAGTCCAGACTGTATCAAACAAATCACGATAAAAAAATTCTTCATGACAAACAAATGGGTCCATGATTTGCAAATCGGCCTTAATCAGGCATGAATTAAGAGGACTGATGATAATGACGACAATGAATGGGTGTGTCGGGTGGTCACGTTGACAATGCAAAGGGTATCAAATCCCTACGCGCCGAATCAATTCCTGGGATATTATTCAAGACAAAGGAACTGAAAAGGCTGAAAGCATAAACTGCGCCAAAAGTTACAAGCAAAAAGATAAAAATGCTATTCATCGAAACAAAACAACTTTTGTTTACAGTTAGTGAAATATGCTCAACAGCGAAGCGTTTGACAAACGAAATCATGGCATTTCATTATGCAAATTTGACAGCTTATTTTTGAATGAAGAGGAGCGAGTGTAAAAGCAGTTGCAGAATGGAATCTGGTTTTTGCGCTATGAGAGAATCCAGTATTATTGTTATGTATTTTAAATAGTCAAAAACTGAATTCTAACACTACCCAATTGCTCGGAATTCAAACTAACACTAAACCGCAGCTTGCACTTAACCGGTTTTCAATCGATGGATCTGCATAATGATCAGCCAAAACGAACACTGTTTTTTTTCTAAACAGTTTTTCGAAATGGGAACAGCGCATAGCTTAGGCTACCAAGATGAACTGCGTAACAGGATGAGTACCCCGTATGACAATTACTCGAATATTCGGCATTCGATGGGACTGTAACTTGCAGAGAATTCCCACTGGATACGACCGTAAGGTGTTATGTTTGATCTTCTACTATACAGTTTCACCTCAATAATATTCTTGTTTTAAATTAGCTCTCAAGTCAAATCAATGGGTGAATTCCCAGCAATTTACAAACATTGTACAGTGGAAGTATAAAAAGTTGCGAGACAAAAGTAACAAGATAAATTAGATACTATGGTAAAAGAAAAAAAAATTAATGCTAGCTTTCCCCCAGGTGTGACAATTGCCTGGCGATTAACCAAGAGACGAGCAAGGTATGGAATTAAACTGTTTCTGTATGTGGAATTACGCACACAAAGTAATTGATATTTTGGAGTGAGTTCCGCGATCAAATGCGACTCTGCAGATTTCGGAATGAAGACAGTGTAAATTACATGTAATCCTGTTAATGAACAAGCGTCGAAACGCTTGGTAACAAAAAACTTCATCAAAATGACCCTATACCACACTATTGGGACAAAAGTTTGAGGGATATGGAAAAAAATTGAAATCTTTTTCTTTTAAACCGAGAATGATTTCTGACGACTTTTTTAATTTCTTTTTTTTTATTTATTGAATATACAAAGGTACAATCAACTTTTAAGGAGGCCGCGGCCATGCAAACGCCGCTTAGGAAAATACAGAAATAGGGAGGATAAGTAGCGGTGAAGAGGTTCGAACTCAGGATTTCCGAATCACTATTTGAACAACCTTAACCACTTGACCACCACTGTGGAGAATTATAACCATAGTGGAAGGAAGTAGGCTATTACGAATTTAAAAGAGATGATTACGTGCAACGGACAGTTCCCTGAGCCTGTAAACATAAAGGACAGTCTTTGAACTTTGGCGAAACCGCAAATAACTTGAGGAAACCAGGACAGGCAATGTGTGCAGTCTGGGAAACTGAAATTTGCCCAATTAACTGGAGCAAATCGATTATACTACCTTTCCCTAAAAAGGGGGAGAAATCAGTGAGCGAAAACTATAGAGGCATCAGTTTATTTCGTGTGGCGGCCAAGGTTTTTGATAAACCTTTTTTGAACGGCTTTGCTGAAACAAGGCACGCGCACACTAGCCCTAACCTGAAGGGATTCCGCTACGATGAGGGCTGTGTGGACCACGTATTCAATTTACATTGCCTCTTGGTACATAGCCACAAGTTTCAACAGCCCACAGCAGTGTGCTTCATTGATTTTCGTACGGCATTCGATTCTATAGATCGTGAATCTCTCTGGAACATAAATCTGGCCGATAAGGGTCCCAGTTAAACTTATCAACCCCATGAGATCCTACTATACCAACACTGGTGCTCGAATCCGCATCTGCTGTGGGGAGTCATGCGCTCTCCAGGTAGGATTTGGAGTGCGACGGAGGTGCCCGCTGTCCACAATACAGTTCAACTTTTTGTTGGCCGGATAATGGGTTGTTCGACGGCAGGATACCAAAGAGTTCAGATCTCTCCGAACTTATGGCTCACCGATTTAGAATTCATTGAAGATAATGGTCGTCTTTGCTGAGAACATGTCCGACCTCCAAGTGATCGTTGACTACATCAATTGACAGCCTCCACAAGCCTCAGTATGGTCTAGGGTGGGTGTCTAGGGTTGCGGCTGATCACCCTTCCCTTGCACCCAGCGAAATGCTCCTATACGTTCAAACGTCTCAAATAGCCTCCGGTGAGGAAGCCCTACTCACTACCTTCTCGTGGCGGAGGTGTTTTCCCACCAAAGTAAGAGGAAGACGAAAAGCTGACATCCGAGCTATAACCACGTCGGTGGACCACTGGTAGTTCACCTAGGGGAGCTGCCCAAAATCCCTGACTCCAAGCCAACCATGAGGAGGCGTACGAACTATACACACAACTTCCTGGTTGTGGCAGTGGTCACCGGCTCGATAGGGCATCGAGGTGTGTTGGGCACCTTGGACGTTCGACCCCGTCCAAAGGGTGTATGATCCGATGAACTGGACACCGGATCACCATGGATTGCGGTTTTCGCACACCGCCCCGCTGCTTTGCGGGTTAGACTTTGGCTAGCCAAAGACTTTACTACTAAACGGCGAGCCGATCGAATCCGTCGAAAGCTTTAAATACCTGGGCTCAACCATACTCTCCAACGGTCAAGCTAAAGACGCGGAACAAGTGCGCGTCGATGCTGCACCAAAAGCGTTTCTACAGCTGAGGAATTCCATTTGGGGTAGTAACGAAATTAGTCCGAAGAAAAAAATACGAGTTTCCTCCGCAGCAGTCCGTCCTGTAGGGTTGCGAAACCTGACCACTTAGAGTCGAAGACTGTCAACGATTAGAAGTCTTCGATCACCGGTGCTTAAGAATTATTCCAGAAATACGATGGAGGGATCAGCTCTCAAATGAAGCGGTCATAAATCGGTGTTTTAATCTTATATGGCTGCGGATGCTAATACAACGGCGGTGACTACAATGGTTTGGTCACATACTTCGCAAGCCTGATAACGACCTGACCAAAGCTGTCTTGGCACCGCCTCCCTACCCGAACTGGCGCTGTCAACACGGTGGGCAGCTGAAAACCTGGCTAGATACGGTACGCAAGGATACAGAGAACCTTGATCTCTGCTTCGTCTACGGTAATCGCGTCAAGCTGGATCACCATCTGCGCTGATCTCGCCGCAGACTGCCGAGTGCGAACAGTGGCCATTCGGGATATCCATGAAGCCGGTTTATCCTTTCCCAGGAGCCAACGGCCATAAAAGTAAGTAGGACAGTTTATGGGTGACGGTGACACCGAGGTATCTAACAAAATCCGATTTAGAGACACTGACTATTACCAATAAAATGAAGGAGATTGATTACCGATACAACAGTTTAATAAAATCAAGATATAGGTTGTTTAAAATAAACTGAAACAGCTTGTCCTATTAATTATCTCCTTCTACGGCATCACATTTGTAAAAACAATCGGTTCTTATTTATCTTTGTTTCATAATCCAGATTTTTCTCAGTTCCAATCAGTAGGATGCGAACAGATGACAGTAGTGTAGTTTTACAAGTAAAAAATCGATAATTTGAAAATTTCGGTAAACTATTTGAGAAAATCAAATAGCCGATACTACTGACCCCATTACAGCCTGGTTTTATGAGTTACTTCTGGCTTTTCTCAGTTTAACTTCCCACGTAGTAAATGTCAAACTGAAATAGTGAAGAAAGTTGAAAATAGATATTCCATTTCCATCCGCCATCTTGGTTATGTTGTCCACGATGTTCGAATCCTAAATGGGATGCAAATACATCAGATGAAGCTAAAGATCAAACGAGCATGGAAACATTCAAAACCAGGAATCCGATTCAGCAACAAACTTTAGCGTGTAACTTTGCCGATGCCCTTCAGTTCACATTAGGTTACTGTGGCAACCAGGCCGTCGATGACAGATTGAGACAGGGAGTAGCCAACAGCGAGTTTTGATAACTGCATTCGTTGTCAAGGCAGCAAAGCGGGCTTACAGCATTCTCAAAGGTTTCTTTTTGTCTGATGAGAAGAATCAAACGATACAAACCTTCGGGACTTAGAGGATTTCTCGCTT